CTCCCTGGTCCCTGGGCTCTGTTTCCCTCCACCTGTCAGGATGTGTGGTTGTCACCCCTGTGCACAGAGCATTCCAGGCACCCCACTTCCCATGGTAGGAACTGGTTTTAGTGAGCAGCTGTGGCACACCTCCCTGTGGGAGGGGTCCAGCTGCTCCCTGTCGGAGGAGATGTTCAGAGAGCACAGCCCGAGGCCCCACTCTGTGTCCACCAAACCCCCTCTCCCTTCCCCAGCACAATTGTAATCGACAAACYCCTGGCTAGAAAGAGTGACTTACATGTTTGGATTCTCTAGTCGACTCCACTATATTTGTATGCCTCTATTATCAGGGCGAAAATATCAACTTTTAATGTTGGCCCTGGCTGGATCGAATGTTCAAGAGGCCTCTTTGTGGATCATGGCATGTTTTGCTATCGATGCCGACCTCTGCCCAGAGATGGGGGGAAATGATCCCTGGTGCTGCTGCCTTCCCTGGGAAACCCTTCCTAGACTCCTGCCACTCCCCCCGACATCTCCCCTGCACGGTGCTGCTGTTCTAAACCGATGGTCACCGAGTCCTTCTCAATAACACGGAGACAAAACGCTCTGCATAGCTGATGAATTATAAGCAGGCGCCGTGCATTGGTTTGATGGATGGCTGAGTGAGAGTGTGTGAGTCACGGGTGTTATTTTTGGTCAGAAGAATTGTGTGAACTTTCCTCCTCTATTCCGAGTGCTTTGAAATGTACGGCTTTTCTTTCTTTCTTTATTCTTTTCTTCTTTTGTTCTTTAAGGTGTATGTCAAGGAATTAGGTACCATATCAGAATAGTCATTTTCTAGTTTTCAGRGTTATTGTTTTGGAGTTGAGGAGGTGGAAGGGTTGAATAGAAAAGAATTGTGTGTTGACAGGTAATCCAGTCTGTTAAATGTAAAAGAAAATTACAGTCACCTGCTTTAAGGTAGTGGCTCCTCCCCCAGTGCATTGTATCCCAGGGTCAAGTTTAAAATGGGGGTCGGGGTAGGGGGAAGATTGAGATGAACTGACTTGGAGGCAGAGGGATTTATCTTTTTCATACCTTTATTTTATTTATTTATTTTTWTGTGGTGCTGAGGATCGAATCCAGTRCCTCACCTATGGTAGGTAAGTGCTCTACCACTGGGCTACCCACCCCCTGGGGTTTTAATTGAACATTATTTAGTGGATAATATAGAAATGCCTGACTTGACTTTGGTAGAGTTCTTTTCGGCCAGGTTGCAGAGTACATAACGTTCGATCATCACTGTGGGGTTTCCAACTTGCTGTTTCCTGAAGCAGCCAGGCCTCTGCCCCGGGTTTCTCTGGAATCTTCCACTGCTGTTTATGCAGACACCTGTTCTGATTTAGTATCTGGATACCTGGGAGCATCCTTCAACTCAWTGCTTTTCAAAGTGAGGCCCACGGACCAAGGCAGACTGCAACCTAATTGTTTCTGGTTTTTGATAAGATGGTGCAGAAACTGAGAGTCGGTGTTCCGAGGCTTTTCTAGCAATCTGACAGCATGCTTTTATGTCTTTTGAATCCAACAATAAACACTTGAAGTTTTATCTTGATGTCTTCTTAAATTCATTTTCCTAGTAATTCGTGTTTATTGCATTTTACAAAAGTCTCCATCAGTGATGGATTAGAGGAAGGGATGGGGTCTTGTACCACTGATGGGCTGAGCTATTCGGGGTCAGCTACTGCACTTAGAGTGGTGAGTGCAGGGTCTTCTCCTCTGCCCGAGGGGCACAGGCCGTTACTGATTCAAAAAGGGGAGGTTAGGGGAGCTCTCGACTTCTTTATTGTTCATTTTTTGTCCTTTATTAGTGTTTTTTTTTCTTCTTTTCTCCGGATCCTTCCCACTGTTGAGGAGAAGCCTCCTGGGGGGGGGGGGGGATTTTGCAGTCTCCTCCAGGTGACGATGCGGAGGTCGTCCTGGCTGCAGGTGGCAGCTGGCCCTGGACAGAGCCAGCTCAGGGTGGCTCCTCCCGGGACAGTCCCTCCTGTCTGGTGACCTGTCCTAGTGGTGAGGGAGTGTGTTTGCTCCTGCAGGAGAGGACAGTGAGCTCACGTCTGGGGACGTCTGCAGTGCTGTGGGGGAGAGGCTGAGGCCACTTGCTGGGGAGACTTTGAGCTCAGGGAAGAGAGCCGGAGGCCAGTCWGGACTCCGCTGCGGCCTGGGACGGTTCCTTCAAACGGAAGCTTGAGGTGCAATGGGGAGGGGGAGACGGAACCAGGTGGCCCTTCCCCTGCCTGGAATKTTGTCCTGGGTGCCCACGAGGCTTGTGCTCAGGCTTGTGCTCTCTTGGTCGAGTCTCCGTTTCAGTGTGGCCCCCTCTCCCCTCTCTCCGCCGGCTTTGTTTTTCTTTGGGGCACTTAATATGCAACTTGCTGTCTTTATTTATCCTAATTTAATGTCATTAATTAGGTGCTCATTGACAAGGGCCAGGGGTTTCGTCTGCATTGCTCAGTGCTCTCTCTCCAGATCTAATACATGGCCTGGTGCTCGAGAGATGCTCAGTGAACCCTCGTTGTGTAAATAAGTGATGGCTAATGAGCAGGGAGGGCAGGCCACAGGCAGCCAGTGTGTCCAAGGAGGCACCAGCTGCTTCCCCACAGCTGTCTACCAGGTACTTGTTGGAGCTCCTGAAGGGCCTCAGTCAAGGAGGTGATCAGGCTTTAACCAGCACCTACTGTGTGCCAAGCACTGAAGTGACAGAGGGTCACATGTGTGTTCTTCGCTGTTTTACAGACGAGGACACTCAAGGGTTAGGAACTTGGGCCAGGTGACCCAGCCCAGTTAGAGTCTATGTGGTTCTACCCAGAGAAGTTTCCACACGCCGCCCGTCACGGTGGCTCTTGGTCCTCTGCTTTCCTACTGTGAAATGGGAATTCATTGTCCTCCTGTTTCACCAACTTTTTTTCTCTCTCTCTTTTTTTTTTTTTTTTTTTTTTAGAAAGAGAGAGAGAGAGAGAGAGAGAGAGGGAGAGAGAGAGAATTTTTTAATATTTCTTTTTCAGTTTTTGGTGGACACAACATCTTTATTTTATTTTATGTGGTGCTGAGGATCAGACCCAGCTCCCGGCTCATGCCAGGCGAGTGCGCTACTGCTTGAGCCACATCCCCAGCCCCTCACCAATGTTTTGTCTCATAAGAGTGATCTGGGAAAATTAGAACCCAAATAGYGTAAGATATGCATTTTGTAAAAATGGGGGTGCAAAATTAGCCTGTGTGGCTAAGTAATGCTCCAGCTAAGAGAGGCACCCGAGCCAAATCCCACCCATGGGGACCACTGTGTTTTCCAGCCAAGGCTCAGGCCGGGCCCTGGCTTTGACTCTTGGCCCTTGGTGTCCTTGTTCGCCATCCCTCCCTGGGCTGAGGACATAGCAGCCTCCAGACTCGGCTTCCGGACCCTCCGACAGGGCATCCACTGGGCGCTGGGGAGAGGTCAGCAGAGAACACAGTTCCTTGCCCTCGTGGAACTTCTGTTTAGCAGGGAGCGGGGCAGGGCAGAGACAGTAGGCAAAAAGCCCCGAAGTAGATCACATGGCGTGTTAGGAGATGGCAGGCCTCTGGGAGAAAGGACGGCCCAGGGGAAGGTCGCGGTACCCAACTGAATGGCCCAGGTGGCCCCTGTTGGGCGGTGACTTCTGAGCAGCATCCTGAAGGTGTCAGGGAATGAGCAGGCGGGCTGTGAGGGCGATCCCCGTCCTGGGAGAGGACAGAGGATGTCACCATGCTGAGATGGGGTCAGGCCTGACTCCAGGGGAGGAGAGCGTGGGGGAGGCAGGGGGACCCCGAGGGCAGAGGCAGCAGGACATCCCTCCCATACTGCCTCCATAACCCTGCACTCCCTGAAGACCCGACATCGACGTCATTGGAGACGCAGCCACCTCCTCTGGCTTGGTCTCCCAGCATCCCTGGATGTGGTTTCTTCAGCTGCAACGTGAAGGGAATCTATTCAGCCCTCTCTGCAGTCCCCCACCCAGGCCTGAGGCAGGCTGGCTCCTGTCCCCTTCCTTCTTCCCCCGAGTCTTTAGGACACCTGCTCATACGCAGGTCCTATAGGGAGGCACAAGAGGAGCCGAGGAGGGGAACACTMGGCTTTTTGCTGGTGGTGTCCTTGCTAAAGCTGAGAAGGAATGTGATCGGCAAGGCGAGAGGTGGGGCAGGACGCTCTCGCAAAAAGAAGAGTGTCCTGTAGAACAGAAAGCCACGAGAGCGAGCCACGAGCCACAGTGGGACGGAAGCAGGTAGCTAGTGGGTGGCCAGGAGCTCCAGGGAACCTGGAAGAGGCCGCGGCGGGCAGTCTGGGAGGGGGTGGAAGTGCATGGAGGAGGCAGCTGGCTGGCAGGGCCTCCCACGTGGCCATAGAGTGCAGCTCAAGGGAGGCGTGGYRYCCTGGACACGGGCATGGAAGCCAGRGTCCTGGCTATGGCTTCCCTGGAGCTACAACAARGGGACAGGGAGGGGAATCAGCCCAGGACTGAAGAGTCACCTCGGGGTCCTGATTTCAGAAGCTGTCACCCGTCATGACCTCTTGGGCTGCCTCCTAAAATCGAGATCCACATTCTGTGTACTTTTAGCAAAGCAAAGCTCCTTAACCAAGACACATTTAAAAGGGTGGAAAAACTTACCTGAATCAGAAAATGAGACTTCCCCTCTCTTGTTTGGCCTAAAGTATAGGATTGGATTCTGTCCACTTTCAAGCTGGGTGTTTTCATGATGAGCTCTTAGAAAATTCTTGAAACAGTCATATACAACTGACTGGTGGACGCTGTCCATTCTGCAGACAGARGACCTCTGCAGTAGGAGGGTCACGGCGGCCTCACCTGCAGTGGTGTGATTTGCACAGCTGCTCTGTTGATGGGTGTGTGCTCTAACGGGCTTTGTGGGGTTCTGCCYGGCTCAGACACCAGCATTAGTAGGCCCCACCCAAGCCCCGCATTTATCCAGTGCTCTGTTTCTGATCGTGTTTCCTGATGCGTTGATATTTCCAGGCTAATCTTGCACAACTACTGAGAGATTCTCAGGACCGAAACAAACATCTGGGAGAAGAAATTAAAGAACTTCAGCAAAGGCTTGGAGAGGTCCAGGGTGACAATAAGGTACCGTGACTATTTACAGGCAAAGAGCTCTACTGTGTGATTGCGCTCTAGAGGTTATGTATAGCATGTCGGAAAAATGTAATGCACCATGGCTGGAAATTTTGTGATAGATTTTGACATTTGCAAAGAAAATTCAGTTTAGCATTTCTAATCTTTATTGCATTGCTGTGTGTGTGTGTGTGTGTGTGTGTGTGTGTGTGTGTGTGTCTGTGTTTGTGGGCACACCTGCCAACACATGTGTTTCTGGGTTGCTCTAAAACATTGTTACAACTGGGTGCAGGGGTTTCATTATGCTCAGCTTGGTGGTGGAGAGCATTGCGGTTGAGGGCAAAATAAAACCCAAATGCTATACTTTTCCCTTCTGTACAAATAATGGATTTGTGGCTCAGATGATTTGGAATTATTCACATTCAGTTTTGAATTTTAAGTAGTCATCCTACTAATTATGTTCACATAACCAATTTATTTTATTGCTAAATTTGGCAATTTGTATGGAACATTGCTCAAAATCCACTGCCTGGTATTAATCAGACTCCCCTGTTGGCAACGTTAATTATAAAATATGAACTCATAAACTCCAAGCTCGATGTGCATACTCTCTCTTTCTCCCGCTGAAGCCATGAACAAAAGTACAATCGGGAAAGGAAAGAAAAACTACCCAAGTTTAATTTTGTCCCCCAAAATAATTTCCTGTTTTGCCAAGATAGATTTATTTTCAACTTCTTGCCAGAGGCAGATTTTTGCAATGGAGATGGCATTGGATTTTGACTCAAAACCAAAACAAAACAAAAAACAAACACCCTGCCACATACACACACACACACGCACACACACACACACACACACACCACATATTGTGTGTGTGTGTTCAGAGCAGCTTTCCTGGGGAAGTGTTTTCTGGATGTCACCAAATTCGTTGACAAATGATGGTGACTGCTTTTGCTGGGAGTTGTTGGTTGTTGGAAGGCCCCATTTTGCAACATGGTCACTTAAAAAAAGAAATGACAGTGTTGTCTGGGACAGTTGTCTGGGAGAGACCTCTTCTACAACACGAGGTCAGAGGGGACTCTGCCTTCCGCTGCATCAGGAGGCCAGATCTGAGGACATACATTCAGCTGGGATGGTGTGCACTCTGGAGATGGCTTGTCCCAAAGGGTTACATTTTTGGAAGTTTGGTCTCCAGTATAACAGTATCAAAAGGTGCTGGGACCTTTAAAATCTGGGGCTAATAGAAGGTAGTCACTTCATGACCACCCTCAGGAAGGGACTGACGCTGGTATCCTGGAGTGTGTCAGTTCCCAGAACAGCCACTTGTTATAAAAGAGCAAACTTGACTCCTTTCTGGATAGGCTTCCTCTTGGCTGCCTGAGCTCTTGGGCACAGACCACCCATCCCTGTCATGCCATCCTGCCATGTTCTGGCCCTTGACAGAACCAATCAGTCCTGCAGAACCTCTTTGTAATATACCCAGCCTCAGCTATTTTGTTACAGTAACAGCAAATGGGCTTAGAACCTTTGTTACATAGCCTTTTCTCTACTCTGTCTGCCTTCATTTTTAAATTTTTTTTAAATTAAGGTTTTAGAAAACCTTTTGGATTTCATATAAATTTGAGAAATTAGGCTCTACTATTCTTGGCCATGAAGTAGGGGGTAGAGAGAACACCCAGGAAAGGTTCTAATTAACACTGGACAAGCTGATCAGGCCTCATGTGTAGTTTTAGTCATCGTTACAGGATTCAAGCTCTGTCACCCAGGTGTTTGGTCACTAATTAGAGACCAGACCTTCTTAGTCCCTTCCTCCAGTGATGACACAGGGCGAGGTTTTATAGAGAATGAAGTGAAATGTGTGCAGCTTTCTCTAAGCTCATGAAAATGCTGGCGGTGTTTCGGGGACGTCCTAAGGCAGCTGGGAGGCGTGATCTGGAGGTTCATGGCTCTTCCTGGTTGGCAGTTCTTGTCCTGTTTCCTCCACTGGGGGTGGTGACGCCCTGCTCCAGCTTTCCTGAATGCCCTCCTGCCTTTTGGTCACTCAATCTTTTTGCCTTTTAAKCGAGTGAAAGTTTAGGCATTGACATCAGCAGCTGGTGTTCAAGGAAAGAAAGGGGGGACATGCGTATGTGTGTGTGYGTGCGCTCGTGTGTGTGTGTGCRTGYKYGTGTGTGCACACTAAGCTTCTGCGCCTCGCCACAGTCTGAATGTCACCATTTGCTTGGGACCCGGGTCTCYGTTTCAGAGGCCGGACACATTCATCAACTGTTTTCTCCCCGAGGCTCAGAGTCGAGTGACTCACATCCAGGGCCTGTGAAGTCACTGGCCTGCCAGAAGGTGCAGGAGATGTGACAGTGTCCAGCGGAGCTCAACCAGAGGAGCTCAGCCCGGCCCCCAACCCCCACCAAAAAGAGAGAGAGAGAGAGAGAGAGAGAGAGAGCGGCCTTCGTCTGCGTCCTCCTTGGCCTCTAACATTCCAGGGCTCGTCTGTTTTCAGGCCCTGTGCGTCATGGACAGCCTCCCCCAGGCCACCCCAGTCCTCACCATGAGGCCAGGTGACTCATTTGACAGTGACAGCAGGTCACAGCCCCTGGGACTGCAGGGCAGAGAATGGGCCGATCCTTTGGAGGTTTGGTTTGGGAGGTTTTTTCTGGTTCGTTATGTCACTGGCTGCTGCAACCTTGCCATCTTCTCCCAGGTCTGGGCCACCTCCCAGCCTGGTGTGCTGGCCTCCACAGTCTCATCAGACTGCTCCAGCCGCATCCTCACCAGGCTCGTCTCATACCTAAGCTAGTCGCAGCCATGTTTTGCTCTGCCACAGGACCTTTGAGCCTGCTGTCTGCTCTGCCTAGACRGCTTTTCCCCTTGCCTTCCTCTGCAGGCTCCTGCTCCTCGCTCAGGTCACAGGTCAAGGGGAGCCTTTGCCAGCTCTTAGGTGCCAGTCCTGAGCATGCCCACGCGTCCTGCTCTGCCTGCCCTTGCACTGCACCCGTGTGGCACCCTAGCCCTAGGGGTCAGCTCTTTTCAGGCCGAGGGCCACCTTAGGTGGACACTGCAGTGTCCCTGGGAAGGGGCGTCCTCGTTCTCAACCTGAGACATGATCTTTATTGAAGGAACGGAAGTCAGTGAGCAAGTCGGGAATAAGAAGAGGCTCAACCAAGGGTTCAAGGAAAGAAAGAGAAAGAGACACAGACGCTGCAGAGGCTGCCGCCACCTGGTCAGCGCGGCCACTCGCTCRGGCGAGGCGTCCTGAGTGACCTGGGAAGCAGAGAGCCAGCCCAAGGTGCGMGGCCTGGGGAGCCCCTGCAGAGAGCGGGTGCCTGCTCCCCCGGCTCAGCCCTGACCCGCGGCCACCACCGCGGCTCCAGGTGCAGCCAGACGGCTGGCGGTCATGTGTGAGCGGCCACCCAAGGGGCAGCTTTTGACCTCGAGTGCCATTGTCACTGCCGACCCCGGGCCACATTTCGGGAAGCCCCGACTCTAGTTCACTGTGTTGAGGAACCAGGTGGAGGGAAGTGACTCCCTGGATGTCTTAGGGGAGACTGATGGTTCCACTGGTCCAGCTGCAGCCTCGGCACCCTGCAGCCCCCGGGACTCGCTGCCACCTGGCTTAGGAGCAGCTCGGCCCCCGTGGGGCCGGCTTCCTGCACCCCACAGAGTGACCTGATCCACCGACAGCAGCAGTCCCCCTGCCCAGCGCCCAGGAGCTTCTCAGGCTCCCAGGTCACCACGGACCCGGCCCAAACCAGATGAGAGGTGTGAGGAAGGRACCCGTCAGATTCCACCCCTGCCTAATCCCAGGTCTTCACGGCCAAGAGGAGAGAGCCCCCTGGGGAGGGAGGGACGGCGACGCCGTCAACCACCAGGAGAAGCTGTCCAGGGCCTGGGTGCCCCCACAATCACTGGGTCAGTGTGTGACAAATAAGGACCAACGGGGGCTTCAGGTCCCAGAGGGACCCTCTCCCGCCCCAGGGCCGCCTGCCTCCCCGTCGGGCCTCGGGAGCAGAGTGGGTTCAGGGAGGTGGACAGGAGGAAGGCAGAGGCCTCTGGGAGTCGAGGGACAATAGAGCCAGCAGACGTCAGCCGGGTCCCTGACCCAGGAGGGGGCTAGTGAACCAGCCTCTGGGGTGGGAAGCTGCGGTCGCTGTCRTTCTCTGTGCACAAGGTCTGAAGCCAGCACAAACACCACTCCACCACGGGGGATTCGCTGTCCGTCCAGGAGGCGGGGGACAGACAGCAGGAGACAAGACGCACAGAATCATGGGACGGTGGCTCTGCTGGGAGGACCAGTGGGGTGTCCTGGCTGGATGGGGGCCGCTGTTGGTGAAAGGCGGCAGGTGCTTGTCCTGGGTGAGCGTCTGGCAGGTCAGTGTCACTGCTGCCCTTAGTGCCACACAGGCCCATGGTGGCCCAGAAGCCTCCAGTACAGAGCCCCACGGAGCCTGAAGGTCGTCCCTCCTGGCGGCCACCTGTTTCCTTGTGCTCCTGTCGAAACAGCACTGGGGGGAGGACCCTCACAGGTGGTCATCGCTGTGCCCTGGAGGAGGGCAGCCCCCACAGGACCCACAGTGGCCTCCGTTAGAGAGGACGACGTGTCCAGCAGCACACCTGTGACGAAGCCCGGGAAGCCCAGCCGGATCACTGCTCCTGCCAACATCACGCTTTCCCATGTCCTGGGTCCCCGCCGCAGACTTACAGTGACAAGGTGACATCAGCCCGGGCTTTGCCCTCAACAATGAGCTTTATGTCGCAGCAGGTGACGGTCTTGACACCTCTGCTTCATCCAGGGTTGGCATCGTCAGTGACAGAGCCTGCTGTGACCATCCTCTGTTGACATGGGCTTCCGGATGGATTTGACCAGCAAACCCATGARTCAAAGCCACCAGCCAATAAAGACAGGCCATCAGCCTGCAGGTGGCTCATTAAAGGRTACACCCTTAAAACAAAGGTGGCTCAGCTGTGGATGTCTGTCATGGTCCTGGAGGAGGGACAGGAGCTCTGGGCGCTGAGGC